AAGAAAGAGTGTGTGATTAGTGAAAGTGTTTTATATATGCACGTGCAAATGTGTGCTTAATTTTTGATACAGGTGGAGCGTTATATATCAGGCTGAACGGCGTGTTTTTTTTTTTGTGTTGGTGAGTTTTTAAATAATCTTTTTTATAATTTTTTATTGTTTATTATCTTTTTTTGGACGGGCCCAAAGGTGTAAATGAAATTCGAAATTAGAAATAATGTTTTCACAAGTTTTGGTTGGCTGAATAATTTACATTACATATGTATATACTTATATTTTTTTTATTATAGATTGTCTTTTCAGCAAAGTTTTGATATTAAAGTAAATCGCTTTTATAAATACGGTTATACATAAATACATGTAAGAGATTTATATTTTGTAAAATTAATTATTAAAAAGAAATTGCATACGCTTATATAACAAGTAGAGCAGCGTTAAAGTTGCATACAGAAATATATATATGTATAGTGTATAGCTAATATTTGCATATAATATATGAGTGCCACGCGAGTAGCTAAGTAAATAGTATTTATAGGCGTAAGTTCATTCGAAAAAATATGATCGAAAGCAAAATATGCATAAATTTGTTTGTATTGTACGGTGGCGAAAGGTTGCTGTGCTTATGCATACATATATAAACATATATATTACTTTTTTATATAAATGTAAATATATGTACATATGCACACACTTCGAATTGGTTAAATTATATTGGTGTTCATTTGTATATCATCTGCGCTGACTTATCCATATTGTAGTAGATCGACTTTGTTCTTTAAATTTATTTTTAATATTTTTGCTTTGCCATGTTTCTTTGAGACTCTCATACGTACATTTATATTTGAAACATTCGTCAATATTTATCACCAGCTTAAAATTACCGTTCGATAATGCCTTACAGTATTTGTTTTAACTTATGGGCACGATTTTGCAGGATTATGTAAACCTGACTCTTATTTCACTGTGAATCTATACAATATTCTAATAAGAAGCCTTTAGCACTAAAAATACGGTTTTTGGTAATAAAAGGGAAGAAAAAATCACCTGTATCAATTTTCAAAATTTGAATTTTTGGTAATTTTTGTCCGATTCGAAAAATATGCTTCCAGAAAACGGGTTTTAAAATGAACTGCTTAAGCTGCTTGATCCGAGTGGTTACATTTTAGAAGGCTATAACGCAAAAACTATCTGACATATTCAGGGTACAAAGTACTCTCAAGACCAATGCTTCTTCTATTTTGAATGGTCTCAGAAACAAGTGTGGTACATTCCAGAGGTTCCTTGGTATTTCTCGGAAGAATTTTCATCGTAAAAAGTACTTCTAGACCGATACTTCTATTTTGAATAGCCTCAGACATTTTTTTCATTCTCTTATATTCCAGTAACCAACTGACTATATTAAGCTGGCATTTACTAAATTCTTAACCTTTTCTTTTCGAAGCAATTTTAATAAAAAAATACAATTCTGATAGCTTAAATAGTTTCTCGTAGATAGAGGGCATTCTGCGATTATTTTAGAACGTTTTCTAGTATACTGGCAATTCGAAAAATAAGCACTTTTGAAAATATTTGTAATATTGTTTTTTTAACCGATCGTCTATAATCAGGTAATCTATGGTGTGCATTTCTGGGATTAAGTCGGGTGGCCGAACTTTTGTGTACCAACAATCGGTAACTTAACAATAAACTGAAAAACTAAAACAAATAAATAAAAAATAAAATTCCAAGATTCATAATGACAGACTTCCTCAAATGTGGTGAGTTTGTGAGAAAGCTTTTCTTATCTTTATAGCGTGCTTTTATTCATTTAATTTTTGTGTTTTTTTCTACAATTTTTTAGAATACTGTTTGCAAGTTACATTTTGCCGTTATTCAACGCATTATTTGACTTCAGCAAGTGGCTCCTCTGTGAAGTACGCACATATTTCAAAAGTAAATTTTATAAAATTATGAGGCTTTGATATGTATTTGCATTTTTGTTACTATTCTCATCCTTTGAGTTTGTATTGTATTTGGTTTTGTTAATTATTCGGCATTAATAGCTTTTATTTTTTCTTATCGAGTTCGGAAAATGTGTGCTTTCGAAAAAAAAAAGAAAATCACAAAATAAAATAGAAAAAAAGAGAACACAAAAATAATAATTAAACCTATGGTTTACACTTCTTTTAACTGCTTTCCTCGTTTTCACGACTTGACGACTTGTGGTGCTACAAATTTATTAACGACCAAGATATCATTCCTTGTTCCCAAAAAGTCCTGTTGAAGAGCCTTTTTGGACAATCTAACTTAGAGTAGGACAAACTCTACGTCGTCCTTTGAGCATATACTCGTACCTCAGGCACAATATAGAAATTCGTAAGAATACTTTGAGCTTATATTTTGTGAGTAATATATTCTTTGATACATAACAAATTGATTTAAAAGTACCTGTTTCGAGTTTTTGCGTCGATATGTGACAATGGGTGAAACATTAATAAAAAAAGAGAAGGATAAAAAACAGCGACTATTGCAAAGCGTTATTTCGCCGAAAAACAGTCGAGTTCGAAGAATAAGAATGTGTTGTTTCACCAATGCAATGTACCGTGTCTTCAGATCTGACCCCCCGCTACTATTTTCTGGAAGAAATTTTCGTCGTGCAGGCCAATTTTGAAGCAGAGGACACATCGAAAAAAAAAAAAGTTATCGAAAAGTGTTATGCCGGCTGTAATCCGTGTATCATATTTGAAATTAACTATGTTGAATAAAAAAATTAACGAATTTTGCCAGAAAGTGTGTTTCACTATTTTATCTTTTCTATCTTTCTTCTGTCTTTTGCTATATTAGAAAATGACAAAAAATAAACACAAATTAATCCATTAGTGAAAAAAGCAGCTCAAAAGCTAAGCACACATTTTCTCATCATATATATTTATATTTGTTTTTTCTCATTTCATTGAGTTTTCGCGCTCAATTGTGTTTCTCATCGTTTGCACTTGTACAGAGCTTTAGAGTTTACTTCTATTCCCATTTATTGTTTTGAAGCAGTAAAGCTGTAAATAAATATATAGCTAGCTATATATTTACTTATACATTATACATAACTAAGTTTGTGTTTTTGCTTTCTAACGCTTTGTGTTTTGCGGGCACAAATTATGCATCTGAAGTAAATATTTTCATTTCTTCTTTTTCTTTGCTTAAGTTTAGTTTCTAGAGTTTTTTTTTAATTTACTACTTAACAAAATCGTTTGCTCTTTTTATTAGCAATGGTTTTTATATTAATAAAATAAAATAATTTTATATATTATTTTTTTGTATTTATATTTATATATATATATTTGTTTTTAATTTAAAAAAGGCAGTCAAAACTTTAGTTTTACTTTTGTTGTATTGTTTTTTGTTTTTTTTTTTTAACTACACAATGTACTTAAATTTTAATATAACGGGGTTTTAACTACAGTTTACTTAGACGTTTGGTTTTAGCTTAATTTAGAATGTGAACTGAACTTTTGTTTTGTTTTCTCTCTTTTTTGTGGTCAGACGAAATTTTTAATGCGGCTTTGAGTAATTATTATTAATTATTATGTTCACTTAAATTTACACAAATAACTGTTCGTTTGTTTGCAGTTGCTTAGCGTTCTTTCGTATTTTGTTTTCTTTTTTTTTCATTTGAGTTGAAATAAATTTCTTTTGTCTTCCTGCGTTCACCTATATCACTTTCCTTATTTGCTCGATTAATGCTTGTTTTTAAGTATTGAAATGCTTTTGACTACTTTTTTGCACTTGTTAAAAAAGAAAAATATAAGTAAATTTAAGCTATTCAAGAAAAGCGTGACTTTAAATAAATAAAAAATTGAATACCCCAAGTTTTAAGAAAAATATTATTAGCGAAATCTCGTTGTTGGTTACTTAAGGTATTATAACCACTTGTGAATTTCAACAAATCATTTTTTTTTGCATTTTTAAATTCAAAAATTTTAGAATAAACGCCAAACATTTAAACTTGATCCAGCAAATAGTTTGGGTGTTTTTTAAGTCAGTGTAAGCGAGGCGTTTAATATGCTTCTACACTAACTACCCAGAAATGTCTATACTCGAAAAGTAGCAGCGAGTTCTGCTATCGGCATACAGGAATTAAGAGGTTGAAACTGGAGATATTATGGATACAGTCAGACAAGGATTTTAATAGTCAATAAACTGAGGCTGAGGATACCCTTTTGACGTGAATGGAGAAGCGGTCTAGTAGGGGAGGAGGATACAAATGTTATCTGGATTTTAATAGTCAATAAACTGAAGCTGAGGATACCCTTTTGACGTGAATGGAGAAGCGGTCTAGTAGGGGAGAAGGATACAAACGTTATCTGTACCGACGCGTTCAAAATGGACTGCGGAGTAGAGGCGGTCTATATATAGGGGGTATAGGGGGTATACTGCATTGATCTTAACAGCTCTCTTTCTAATCGCCTGTCAAACTCAGCCAGTATCTTCCTGGCGGAAGTACTTGGTAAAGAGAACAGCTTTGGAGTGCTATTGAATAACTGCGAGAGTATGCGAAAAGCAACAAAATACACAGATAGCCAGGCCACAATTTTGTCGACACCACATTTTAATTTTACCGTAGTCAACAACTGCAGGAAGGATTTAAGGTCACTTGTAGGTGAACTCAATTCATCCATAATTTGGGCTTCCGCTTGAAAATCTGTGTATGAGTGAGTCTTACGAAGTTTTCTAATATCATTAGCTGAGATGCCTCTCGGAAAATATTTTTGGCCAGACAACTACTACTCAAGACTTGTTAATGAAAATTATTAGAAAAAGAGTTATTAAATAAATAAAATAAATTAAATAAATATTTCTTTATTTACATACACTTTTAGTCTTTTAAATCTATGCCTCTTTTTTAGCTTATTTCAATTCATCCCTCTCTCTAATCTCTTGAGTTCATTTGTTATGAATAAATTAAATATATTATAAATAATTAATGAAATTATATTTCTATTCCATTTTATATAATATTATTCTTTATCAGTGCGCCGTTTTTTCATAGTTTTTTCGTTACATATCTTATACATTTCACAAATTTTTTGCATAAATTAATAGCTTCACGCAACTCTCTCCTGCCTTATATTATATAATAGCATATCATTTATGTGTGTACTTTTTTGTTTTTGTTTTTGTATTTTCAATAATGCTATGAACTGGTTTTCGCTAATTAATTTTACTAATTAAATTTGCTAATTCGCTGTGAGTTATGTATATATATGTGAGTATGTGTGTGTGTATGTGTAAGTGTTTGTATATTAGTTAATCTTTAAGTTGTCTAAATGATTTCCATTGCACTAATTTTTATGAAAATCCCTTATAGTGTACGAAGAAAAATATTAGAAAAATTGCGTAGGCGGTTGGAAATGTAATTCGAGCGATGACATCGATTGTTTTTGCTATGCGTATAGGATGTGGCGGTTCCTTTTTGCGCACTTGGACGAAGCAAGTCTGAAAGAGAGAGTCAATTAACATGTTTATCTTATATTTTTGTTAAAATATTATTTCATAAGTTCATATTTAGGAGTTCTCAGAAAATAACTGCGCTGAGGTTAGTCCGCTCCATGCTTGCTGAGCTTGTATAACATATTCTATGCAAAGCTGCAAAGCTGGTATAGGCTAATTATACACCACCTTTTTCAGTTCTTACGGGTCTTTTTTTAATTATATATTAGCAAATATATTTTGAAGCCTCGAAGAACCACCTGCTTTTTGTTTTTGTGCAGAAATTCTAACTTTTCTGCTTTCATAAAGAAAGCGAACTTAATTATTTTCGATGCTATATTTCGGCTTTATTTTGCTGAAAATCCATTTCAACTTCATATATGGTAACCATGATGCAACATGCATGCAACTTGCCATATCAGGCAGGCATGCTGTAAATATATATTTGTAGGTCAGATAGACTACTGTAAATGCCCCCCTCCATGCATTTTATGCACATGACAAAAACGTGACAAAAATTTGCAGTCTTCCAACGAGTTTTCGCTTTTGTGTCGAAAATTTGCGCACATTTTTCATGGCGAAATCCGATTTGATGTTTGAGTGCCAAAAGCGATGACGCACGTTGCCACCCACAAGGGAGTAATCGAATTTCGAATTTCGAGCACAATTTTTAGCAGACTGCATACAACGTACGGAATATGGTTTACAAATACAAAATGGAATCAATCCAAAACAACAACAACAGACGTGCATGCGCGTCTTTATTAACCCATATTTTAAAGCGGATAACCAACTTTGTTAAACCTAAACTTTTTTTCTGTTTGTTATGAGCTTGCATAATCTTTGTATGAAGTTACAATACCGCTATTTTTATATACTATTATTTGTTTTACCTCTGTTGCGCATCCATTGTTGGCCGAGTGCGTGCACGGGCTGCTGCTGCCGCCACAAGTCGTACAGGCGACGATCTCGTTGGGGGCGCGCACATCGCGTCGCTTCTCACCCTGATAGATGGCGATAAATTTGAAAAACTTTTTATGTTACAAATTTGAAATTTGGACAAATATTTAAGCATTTTTTTTTGATTGATTTCGTTTTTAAATTTAACAGTTAAACAATCGAAAAGGGCGAATACCAAAATAATTCACAAACATGTCAAAATTGAAAGCAGGTTTTGGTTTTAGAATTCAATTCAAAATCGGTTTAAAATTTACAAACGCATAAACGAAGGAATCAAGTAGAACAGAGCAGCGAACGAGGAAATCAAGAGAAAAAGGAATTGATTATTCAAAAATTCAAATTGGAATTGAGTTATTATTTAATAAAACAAAAAGGTCAAGYGAACAGCTCTAAGCAAATTAATTAGTAACCAAAAAATAAATAACGGACGTATAAATTAATATTAATTAATAAAACAAAATCTTGTACAAGTAATAAAATATTATATGAGTATTGCTTAATATTATATTATTTGCGCCTTAAAGTATGCTTAGGTTAGGTGGTTTATCCTTCCGCATGGTAGAGCGATCACATCTAGACTGTTATGCCTGTCTCTTATACACATCTAGATGTGTATAAGAGAAAAATTTACAAACGCATAAACGAAGGAATCAAGTAGAACAGAGCAGCGAACGAGGAAATCAAGAGAAAAAGGAATTGATTATTCAAAAATTCAAATTGGAATTGAGTTATTATTTAATAAAACAAAAAGGTCAAGYGAACAGCTCTAAGCAAATTAATTAGTAACCAAAAAATAAATAACGGACGTATAAATTAATATTAATTAATAAAACAAAATCTTGTACAAGTAATAAAATATTATATGAGTATTGCTTAATATTATATTATTTGCGCCTTAAAGTATGCTTAGGTTAGGTGGTTTATCCTTCCGCATGGTAGAGCGATCACATCTAGACTGTTATGCTCAGTCCTTTGTGGATTAAACTATACAATAACGAGCTTTTTTTTTATATAAGAAATTATTGCTTAGACTTTGGGGTTTCCCAAAAACTGAATACATTAACAATTATTAAAGTAAGGTCTCAAGCACCGTAAATTTCAAAGAAAAAACTGTCAATATTTTGAACTGCTAATGATTGCTATATTTTCGGGGTGCAAAATAGGTGAAAATAAGTAGATCTAATATTACAAAATAAATAACATTGTACCCTAATTTTTCCTGTATTGAAAGTTATCGATAAATAAAATAAAAATGTTAATTAAAAAGTAAGGAGGTTAATGTTAACAAACTATTTGGAATTGCTGTTATAATCCTGGGTTAACAACAAAGGAATGTAATTTGTTCGTTTAATGTTACTGCAAACTGACCGAGTGATCCTCTGTAATTTCTTTACAGCGTGCACAACAGTGTAAGAATGTTACATAGTGTTACAATAGCGGTTGTTGTCTCGTCATCACGAAGCAGGGGAGCAGCACTGTAAAAAGTGCAACTGAATGACCGCATGATAATTTCGTTCAAGTTCGTTAACATTTTCTGTTTGGTAGTCGTGTGTCGGTAAGTGCGCGTCGGTACGTGATCGCGATCAAAGTTTGTGAAAAATTAATAAATGAATCTTTTAGTGTCGTTTTTTGAGTATAATTTCAAAATTATTTGAATTTGTGAGTGCAAAATGATAAGTGTGTGTGTGTTAATTAAGTGAAGTGAAAGTGTGCAAATGCACTTTAGCAAAACAGTGCCCAATGTGTTGGTTTGGCAAGCATGTATCAGCATGCAAGCAGCAAATATAGAGTAGTGAATCTAAGTTTAGTGAGAAATTGATCAATATTGGTGAAGTTTAATTATTTTTATTGTTCGATCGTAGCGTTTAAAATCCCGTCGTATGCTTAATTAAAAGAAATGAAAGATGTGCAGGCCATAAAAGGTAAGGCTGAGCACATATACATATGTATATGTATGTATGTAGTCATTGTATATAGTCATATGTATGCATGTTACATCATGCACACCAGTAGGAATGTTACATATTTTGCGCATCCAAATGCAGTTGTTGTCTCGTCATCACTGCAGAAAATGCAACTGATTGGTCGAATGTTAATATTATTTCATTCATGTTCGTTAACATTTTATGTTTGATAGTCGTGTGTCAGCACTGCTTAAAATTGCAGAAATGTTATTTCCGTAAATAATTGCTTGTAGAAAATGAATGTAATTAAAAATATTGGTTAATCGATATACTTGTATATATATATATGTATATATTTCAATAAAATATCAACATTTGATATACCTTTTTCGGTATACTATTACTGGTGCCCATTGCTCATTTTATAGCCTACCTTAAGACGCAATAACCATAAAACTATCTCAAGCTTTCTAGGCACATAATATGATATTTTCCAATACTATTCCTCGTACTTACCGGCTGCGTATTATGAAAGGGGTTAGCGTTAAGAAGGTGAGAAATAGAGAATTGATACATGTAATTAAGGAAGTAACTTTGATAATTTTTGTTGTAATTTTTTATTTTGCCAATTTTTCGCATTAAGATTTGAAAAATTTTTCATTTAACAAATATATACACATAGATATACAGGAGTTTCGAATTCGAAATTGTTAAATGGCAGCAAATTTAGCTTCTTTAGTACGCTTTTGAATACAAATATTTTAACGAATTTGTTGGTATGAACACTCAGTTCGGCGGTGATGATTAGTTTGTAGGCATTAGTGAGCGACTTTAACAAAACTTTACAACAAAAGATGCAACCAATTAATATTTCGATTAAATTATGCTAGTTTTAGTATTTATTTTTGGCGCGAAAAGCATTTGATGAACTAAAAGTGAGAGCGCGTGTGTAGGCGCTGTGAACACATGACCGGATGAGTGTTAGTGGATCGTAGTGGTTGTATGGATTTTGTTAGTTTTGTGTGTATGTGGCTGGCAAAAGTTTTAGCAATACGTCTCATTTGACTTGCTAGCTAATAAGTCTAATGCATTGTTGGTAAGCAGAAACTGTGGTTATTATTCAATTAAAACTGGAAGCACTTAAAAATTTGAATTATAAATAAAATTGGACAAAATTTGTTGGGAAAATGTGGAATATTTAAAATATAGTATATAAATAATTATATTTCAAATGTTAAACAGTGAAACAACATATGCATTTATTTTTGCTATGGATAAATAATATTTGGAAGCAGAAAACTCAAAATATGAATATACAAACCGAAAATTATATTTTCTAAGACTACTTAAGGGTAGCGTTATACATTGCTGTTAACAAAACTAAATTCTAGTTCATAAAACTAAGTCTACAAGCTGCTAATTTCCTTTTAACACATACATATCTTATCTCTTGTTCATAAGTTAAAAAAAAACATAATTGTATACTACTTTGAATGCAAAAAAAAGTATTCAGAAAATTTCATGATTATTTTTAAACAAAAAAATTTCATACTTTTATTTATAACTGGAAATTAAAAATTTTTAAATTTAATTTTTTTTTTAATTTTCAAGTAATTTTGTAAATTCTTTCCTTTCATTTCTCCATCATTTTATAAACAATTTCTTTCGTTTTATCATCTTCCATAAAACACTAACCAAAATTGCTTAAGAAAACCTAAGTTAGCTAAATCTGGTTCCATATCACAACAAGCACTTTTAATCGCCGTGGGCACTATATGCTCTTCGTTATCTGATTTTCCGAACGTTTTTCAAATAAATTTAGTGCTCGAACAGTTTTCTGTGGCTCTGCGTACATTTTTTTCTAAACTTTTCAGTATTTTTCGAATATCACGTTAGCGGACCCTTTATTCGGACCCTTTATTCGAAACAAAAATTCTACAAAACAGCGATATTTGATAAATTTTAAATATTTTTTTTGGAAATGCTAGAAAACAGCTTAAGAAGAAAATATTATTGCTTATAATCGGTAGTAAAATTTAGTAGTCGTTTTGCAACTCATACACTTTTTGTTGACTATTTATTATAGAATTTTTATTCCTTCCGTATACTCACTTGAAGATTTCACAATGCATCGGGTTTCTTTGTTATAAAAAATGCTTTGTTGTCTCTATGACTAATGTAAAAAGTAATAAGGAAATCTCACTTAAGAGCTTGTCACTCAACTAAATCGTTGTAAAGGATTTCTACTTTTGTCATTGGCTTACCTGTAAATCCGCGCGCTTTCCTCAATCTCCTACAGTTATTTTGTACATAAATCTCTTCTCCATTTTGTTTCACTCTCTCATTCTCTCATAGTTTATAACTTTTGTTTGGCGGATAAGCACTTAATATCCCTTCTTGAGCGTCATGAAAATCAACAAAAAACGCGCCTGGAATTAGTTGCTTTTGTTTTATGCCACAAACACACATACAAACCGCCGTTTAAAGCGAATACTTGTGAGGGTATCAAGAGCTAGAAGTAGAGCTCAAACTTTTTGGTGAGCAGAGCTATTTTTGCATATACCTGTGTCTTTTGTTGGGTCTTTAAAGGTTACTGTAAATCAAATTAAGCGTCTTAACGCGGATACTCAGTTGGGTTAGTACTTGAGAAACTTTTGGCAAGCGCAAGCCGCAGCGAAGAGCAAGCACACTTGACCTTTTTTGTTGGTTAGTGGGAAATTCTTATTTAATGTTACACTTACAGTTTCGGCATTCAGAGCGCCCAAGCCATGACCATTGGCGGCTTCCGGTTGCGCCACCTGCTCGTAGAACGGTATTGGCGAACTGGAACGTGATTGCTTGCGACGCGGTGGCTTCACCGGCAAGTGGCCGCTTGCATCAGCCACACCTTGTGCCTCCAGCTGTGCCGACAACCTTTCAGCTTCCGCCGGCATTTCCAATGACGCTGCGTCCACATTCGCCGCCGTTGCTTCGGGAACGCTGGCGGCATTTTCATCTTCCGGCTGCTTGCTTGTACCGCTGAGTATCAGCGGCGGTGTGTTTGTAGAAATGGAACGACGCTGCTGTGTAGGCGCCGGCGCTGGCAGTGTGGGCTCCACTTCAACCGTTACTGTAGTCTCAAGTTGCGGCGAATGCGCGGTTTCAGCGGGTACAAACGTGGGTTCCGTGTAGACTGGCTCGATGACAGTGGACATGGTGGTGGGTGTTTTGATGCGCCCAGCCTCTGTATCCACGTAAGAGCTGGACGCCGATGTGGCCGAACCCGGTGAGCGCGTACGTCGGCGTATGGAGCGCGCACGTAAATTTTGCATTGCCACACCAATTATGCCGCCATGTTGTTCCTCCCAACGTATGCGCGGCGCATCAAACGTGCTTATGCCGTATGAAGCTGCCGGCACGGGTGGTGGCGATGGTGGTAACGGTGTTTGTGTGGTCGCAGTCGATAGGTCCGTATGGTAGGGATGCAACGGTGTGGGCGTTACGGGTATGCTGGCGCCGGTTGTTGTGCTGCTGGACGCACCCATGGTGGCCTTTTCAGACGACAAAGCAGCATGAAATTCTCGTTCGATTATACCCTACATTTTGGTACTATTACTTGGTACACGTACATATACAATTGGGATTTGGATTTGAATGGTTTTCATACAATTGATTGAGTGTCGAAATTTGAGTTCAATGACATTATAAAGCGGCGATTTTGGCTTTGTGGCTGCATGAATTTGCAAACGCTCTGAAAACTGGGTAAATTTTGGTGTAAATTTGTGGTAAGGCAGCAGAAGTTTTTGGTGGGTTAAGAAGCTCTTCGAGTGGGCTATGGCTTAAGTTATGGTCGAATGGTGGTATAAATTTAACGAGTTTTAGTTACTTAGCAAGCATTAATAAAGGGCGGTTAGAGGCATTGGTGGTTCATCAGAACACAGATTAAGCACACTTAAAGTTAATTTTCAGATAACAGCTGTAATTTTAAAGGGAAAAGCAACAACTAATTTAAGGAAATAATTGGTCTTGGTTAGTGACAACAGTCGTCTCCAGTTGGGTACAATTTTGTTTTAGTGTTTAGTTGTATTAACAGCACAATTATATTTCACACCAGTGGCTACATATTAGATAGCTATTATAATAATTTTCATCCTATTACTTCAATTCATACCGCAAAGAATAAGAAAAATCGCAATAATTATAAAAATTGGCACTTTTTTCAGAATTTTATTATTTTGAACCACACTTTTGTTAGAGTTATTTTCTTTATAATTTATTATTTAGTATCTACCACGAAAGACCTACTATTTTTGACACATTTTTCACCCTTAATCAACCTACTACAACTAACTGGGAGCATCTTAATTAAGTATATATACTTAATAAGATATTATATATACTTAATAAGATATTATATATACTTAATTAAGATATTAATTTATAAACAACCTACATTAATATGTAGTGCCTATATATTTCTACTTGAGTAAACTCGTCACTTCGAAAAGCTCAAAAAAATCTCTTCTCTCTTGACAAATCTATGAAGCTTCTAATGAAACAAATAATAAAAATTTTTAAAAATAATGAAAAGTTCCACGAATTCTGATTTAGTAATAAAGTCAGTTAATTTTTTTTATCAAAATATTTAAAAACATTTTTAAATAAAAACATTTTTATTGAGCTATTCATAACTGCATTCGGAACTCACGTATATCTAAAAAGTATTTAACTACAATTTTCTGAAATCAACAAACTGTTCTCAGTTAAGAGAGATCGTGGGAAAACCCAAATATGAAAGTATTGTTATATTTTTCAATTAATATTAATTTGAATTTGGATATTTTTTGTTCATATGTCTTTAAAACCCAATTTCCAACTAATTTCTTTAACTTATGCTAGTTGAATTTTAAAACGGGGCTTTATACAGAGTCGAAATAACTCTGAACGATTGTGAGAGCTAAGGAAAAAAGAGAGCTATAGCTATAAAAAGTCAAAGAAAATCTACCCAATTCGTATTTTATAATAAATTTATAGATTTTATTTCAGTTTCCTAGAATTTAGTGTCTTTAGCGGAAAAATCGATGTACAAACTATCAAAAAATCGATATGTTAAAAATCGATTTTATTTTTTTAAGAAAAGTTATTAAAGTTTTGACTATCACGCGCCCAAGGTTATCAAATGACTTTTTATAAATATTTTTGAGATCAATGATGGGAAGAGAAAAATCGATATACAAATAATCGAATCTTGCCATAAGAACAATTCAATATTTTGAAACATCTTGGTATTCGCTCTGAATTACCTACATATTTGATATATAAACAATAAATTTTTTCGATAAAAAATAAATCGATATATTGGAAACATCTTGGTATTCGCTCTGAATTCCTAAAATGTTTGATATTTTTGGTGGAGAAAAAAAGAAAAGTCTCCTAGCAGACAACTTGAACGATCTTATATGAGCTTCCTTGAATTTAAAAATGTTATTAAAAAAAAAAAAACGGATACTTATCGATATATTTACTACCTTTCACTATGTGGGAGCACTCGGTAAAGTTACCAAATTATAAATTATAGTAAATCTACCTATCGCCTTTTTGTGATTTTATATAAAGTATTTGGTTTTTAGGAGAAAATCGATTTTCAAACAATTGATACCGATATACAAACAATAGATTTTTACCCATAAAAATATATCGATATATTGGAAATCGTTCGTCCTGTAACTGATAATATTCGTTATGGTTTCACCTACTAAAGCGGCCAAGCCCTGAAAAGTTTTCAAATGTACATATATTATCGAATAAATTCATCGACTTTCTTTAAATTTATTTTTGAATCAAATGCATGTCTTTGAGTAACAAACGCATCAATTACACTGATCCTTTATCCTTTTGAACTCGTCAGTTATATATATTTTCAGTAACATTCGACGTTTATAAATATCCTGTTTCATTTCACTACTTGTAACTTTTTTTGCTAATAGATTATCAATGACATATAGTGCCATTTATCGATATTTCGGTAATCATATATTTGCACAATCAACTTTCATCGTCTTTTAATTAATATTTTCATATTTCCCACGATCTTCCACTACATGAAAATGACTATTTTTCACTACGTGTACTACATTTAAAAGCGTGTTGCCACAGTACGCAAATTAAGGATGCAAACCGGCCATAAAATCAAGATTAGCAGCCAATTTCAACAATTCAAGTATAATAACAAATAAATATTATAAGTATTAAAATAACGAACTAAAAAACTTATGATTTATGAATTAATTGAAAATAATCAAACGCGAATCTTTACAGTAATAATCACATTTTTAATATTATATTCTTTGTTTTTTTGTATACTGATGTTGCAAAAAATGTGTACGGAAGCACTTACTTGTTAGAAATTCGCAAATCAACTGATAATTCGAGTATTTTTAAATATGCAAGAGCTGAATCGGTAAGGCATATAAAGAGACGGGCTTTGCGTAAAAGTGAAGAGTTTCGACTTATGCACTTCTTACGTCACGTTCTTCGTTACACAATTTCATAAGGGACTTCACAACAAAGTTAATACAAATCATACAACAGCAGCAATTATTGAAAATATTTTCAACTGAAAAAATATACGCAGCTAGAAATACAGTGGAAGCTAAAAAGCGCTGTTTCAGCAGTTTCGCAGACAACTATTTCTCCACCTGCGCAATATTCTCATTTAGTTATTTATTTATGCCAAATTTTTTCAATACATAACATTTTTCCCAATTATAAGTGACCTTAAAGTGTGTTTTTCATCGTTACGCTGTACTCAAGGCATACTTCACGTGACTGTTTTATTATCGATACAAATTATTTTTCGTTTATAACCTATAAAATGCATTACTTAATGTGTGACACAAAAACAAATTCAACAAATACATACAATCGTTGCAAAATGCAGACAGTTAAATGATTAGGAGTAAATAGTTTCGTAAACTTAAATCAAATATTACCATAATCAAACAAAAGAAAACAACTGTTTAAACGAATAATGAATATCGAAAAATATCGACAATCGAAAGCATAAAATCGATAATACAAAATGCAACAATGCACAATGCCAGGCTAAAATTGTGAACTGAAAACAGGAGTAGAAGAAGCGCATAGCTGACATTGAAAGCGTGCAACTACGAAGTGTCTGTCAAAATGTCGGAAATCAAAACGAAAAAAGGAATAAAAAGTTAAAGAGTTACTGGAGCTTGCCAGCGGCGAACTGAAGTATTTGAATTCGAAAAAAAAATTGAATTTGGTTTTTTTTTTAATGTTGAGAATCAGTGGCGAAAATCACATGCCGTTTCGGTAAAGTGTTGTGGAGTGTAGGAGAGTCTTTGCTTATTTTTCACTGTAGAAAAGGATGTGGGACTTAAGTGCCAAAGTTGTAATGAATAGGAAAAAAGTGAGCGATTTTAGCGATATAAGTGTTAACGGGGGAACGGAAAGTGTGTTTGATCAGAAGGAAAGTGTGAGTGATGGAGAAGGAAAGTATGAAGGATGGAGAAGGAAAATGTGAGTGATCGAGTAGAAAAGTGTGTTTGATGAGGAATAAGAGTGTGAGTTATGAAGATTAGCTGACAAAATAGTTGACGCTCGAACTGCCGTACTTTTGCGCACCAAATGACTGTTGATAACATGTTGGCCACTGATGGCTACGAGAATGATGAGTATGAGATGATGATTAAATGATGATGCTGAGTCTAATGATGATGATCATGAGGCTGTGTTGCGCAATGATGAAGATTTACAGATGGCATTGTTAATGCAGCTGATGATAATAAAGCAATTTTCTGATGTGTGTGGCGCTTGAAGAGAGAATTTAGATTTTGCCAAAAACATATTATATAAACTTGAATTGGTTGTTGGAAAAACAAAGCAACAAACTTTTTGTATAATTTTCAAACATTTCCGATTCTCTGATTCGATTTGGCACTCATTTTGCCCGGTTTTTAGAATTTAAAATTAAATTATTGAGGTCTTTGAAAAACAAAATTTTTCTAGTGCTGCCAGATTGTTGTTGATTTGTTCATCTTCTGATTACTTTCAGTACTATTATTTTTTGGGTGTGGTGCATGAGTGTTTAATTTGTTGTACTTTTTAAATATTTTTTTAAGGTTTTTTTTTTTTTTTTT